TGATTTTTGCAAAGCGAACGTTTGTTTTGAATTTCTTTATGTTATACCTAATCCTGATCTTTGATTGGTTGATAGATGTCAGAAATCATGTGATAGTAAAATCGATCCTACGCCCTGGCATTGTTATAAAATTCTAACCAATTTATTAAAATTTGTGAATTCATAAATTTGTTATCTATGTTAATTTAACTTGTAATTAGTGTATTAAAAGTAAGATATTTTAGTAGTATATAAAGGTTCTTTAAATTAAGATAAACTATTTATATTCATATTATTTTAATTATTAATTTTATTTATTTATTTATTCATTCGCTATGACTAAAAAATATATGTTATTTTTATAAATAAAGAAATTTCTAATTTATCTAACAATCAGTATCCAAAAGTATATAAAAGCTAACAAAATTGTCTAGTTGCTATTTTTTTGGCCGACACTAGAATTGTTTAACTTTATTATTAATTATGTTATTCTGAGATTATTTAATTTAATATTTTATTAGGCTATACAAATTTAATAAATTGGTTCTAATAACCTGATCAGGCCAAATTTTGCAAATTCTTAAAGAAATTTTTGACTATATTTAATATGTGGGTGAAGTTTTTTTAAGAGTCTATAAAATTTTATATAATTTTTTATATATAAACTTTTTGAAAATAAAATTAAAAGCTGGGTTGCCAGGTCATTTTTCAAATTTTATATTAAGAGAACCAAAAAAAATCAACTTTGTATAGCCTTAAGTAGATAATCATATTCAAAAACAAAAAAATACAAAATTATAAGCGTACTCAACATTGCAAGTTATCTAACACTATTTTATAGGGGAGGGCTACATTAAACAAAAAAATTTCTATTATTATTTTTGGATTATAGTCACTCGATTTATTGAAATCTCAAAGATGTTTAATTTCATTGGGACGGTAAGAAAGAACATTAAATAAAGTTGTAATTTCAAATGATCTAATTTGAAAAGCATTGTAATATTGATAACTATCTAAAGGTTTTATTTTAACTAGGATACAATGCATAGTTTTGAAATTACACAGCAATTAAACTTACTGCTAATGAACTTTATATAAATTTTGATATTTAAATTACATAAATTTGTATATTTTTTAGAATTGTTGTTAAGTTAAAATTAACAAGAATAAATAGCATTTAAGCAAAATACTAAAACACATATTTAAATAATATTATTTTATTTCATGAAAAATATATAATTATATAAATACTACTGTTAAAGTATATTTTTTGGATCATGTAACCAATTGATCAAAAAGTAAATACTTTACATATTGAATATCTAGGTTTATACATTTAGGAAATTTTATAGTTTTACATACAGTATATTTATAGATAATGCATTTAGAGATTTTTTTATGCTTAATATAGTACAGAACATCACAAGACATTCACTTCTTACATAGACGCCAATTGTTTTAGGGATTAGAAATTATAAATAACGTGAGAACTATTCAAATATAACTTTTGAGATTAAGGGTGTTCTCGAGTAATCCCTTCCATGTTATTTAAAAATGCTCAATTATTGCGATTAATTTATTCCAAAATAGTTATATACAATTATAATTGTATATGTAAACTATAACAATTAAACAATTGACTAATTAATCAATTAATCAATTAATCAATTAATCAATTAATCTATTAATTGATTAATTGGTTAATTGCCAATTAATCAATTAGATGTCAATTAATTGTACAACTAATCGATTAGAAAAATTTTGCCAATTTGTAACACTAGTAACAGATAAGGTGTTACCCAGTATCACAATAAAGAGATTGACAGAAACTAAAATTTGTATAAATTTACTAAATTCAAAAAAGTAAGTTTGGTTTTTGTATAAAAATAGATGAAACAAGGGGCTAAGTTGTGTAAATTAATTAATAATATTGATTAGTAATAAGAATTTGTGGTTTGGACATTCTAGAAAGGCAGAGTCCCCCAAAAAATAAAAAATTTTTAACAAAAATAAAGTGCAGTTTTTGTAACAAAGTTTTGAAGTATTTAGTTATAAAATATGTAATTTTTGTTCGTTTAGAATATATTATATATAAAAATGAAGCTATTGATAAGCTTAATCTTTTTCTATTAATGAGCAATAAAAGTTTACTTAATAAAATTTTAAGCAAACTAGAGAAAACAAAAATTTAGAAATATAGTTATAACTCTACAATAAAAAACTTTAGAGCTATAAAACTAAACTACCTATAAGTAAAATTAAATGTAGAACAACTTTACTTAGACAGCCAGAAGTAGTTTATTTAATAAAAATTTTAATAAATAGCAATTGTTTTCAAGAGAGGTTTGGTACAAGTGATTGTCAAGAAGAGTTAGTGATTTGCATCTGATTATTTTATCCTTTAGTTTAAAAATAAATTTATTAGAAATTAACTATATTATAAATATGTACAAATAAATTACTAGTATAATCTTCATGTAGTGATAGGATTCATCAACTTGTGACTCAAATAATTTAAGTTTATCATGATTCGAATCATAATAAGATTAGTGAGTTAACAGATTACAATTAAAGCGCAGAAAACCAATTTTAACAAAAATAGATAATATGTTTATTTTTAAATAAAAGATGTATTAGCTTTATTTTATTTTCTGATAATATTCTTTGTTGTTGAAAAGTTTACTTCTTTTATTAAATAGAAGCCTTTAATATTTCACAAAAGATTTTCTTTACTCTATATAGAATATTGGAAATATCTGAAATATATCAGAATAATTTTTTTTATGAATATTTAATCAATATACAAAATATGGACATAGAATTTGTCAATGTTCATATTTGTCTATTCTTGTTCAAATAAAATTTTATTAAATATAGTGATAGTTTAATTGGTGAATTGGCCTTGAATAGAGTTGTATAAACCTCTTATTTAATTTTTTTGATTAGTCTGACGAATGATTGATTAGTCTGATAAATGATTGATTAGTCTGACGAATGATTGATTAGTCTGACGAATTATTAGAGTAATTGTTTTGATTTATTGAGATTTTATTATTAAGAAAGATTTAATTAATATGTATCAAACCTATTAGATTATCTCAAAACCCATTAGATTATCATCTAATTACTAGCTTGAACCTACTAAAATATGCTATTTGTTATTGTTGTGTAGTATTCAAAATAAATTTTCTATATTAAAAATGATGTAGTTAATTGTCTAATGAGCTGTTTGTTAGAAATTGTATTGTCAAATGCAAATCAAAAATGTGTATCAGGTTGTGTTCTGGATGCAAAAACATTGTTCCTGACCCACTTGAATCACATTCCTAACCTTAATTTTCTGACCCAAAAAAAAAATATAAATTAGCCAATCGGAATAAAGAATAAATTAATATTTATATTGAACTTGTATTAACATCTCCAGCCCCATAGAAAGTGCTAATAAAATTATTAGATTTTTTTTAAAAATAAATAAAACCTATACATGTAGAATAGCAATTTATAAATATAATTAATTTAATAGTATTTTTATTATTAAAGCATTACTATTATATATAAATAGTATAGTAAAGTAGTATTATAAAATAATAGCTCCTATTACTTAAAAATAAATTAACAATAATGATATATAATTATTAAATAATTATAATATAATAAAAATCAATTTGTGCAACAACTTGTACAATAATCTGATTTCATAATCAGCCATAACAGATAATTATCAATTAGAAATATTATAGACTGATATTTTTTGTTTTTTTAAATAAAATCAATTAGACGATATTTTACATATTTAGTAGTTTATTTATTGATATTTAATGATATATTTATTTTCTTCATATCTGCTTTTCTTTCGAATGATATTTTACTATTATTATCATGATATTTTGAAGATTTATTATGATATACTCTGTTATTTAACATTTTTTGATATTTTTAATCAAAAATTTTAAATCACACCTGTGGTGTTCAATACCAGTTATATGAAAATCTATGTAATATGTAAATTAAAATAATTTTTATCAAAACAAAAATTAAATTTTGTTTAATATTAGGGTTAGAGTTGAGGCCTGGAATAGAGCATAGATATAGCTTATACTAAAATTTTGCAAGAAATATTTTTTGTTAGAGCCCCAAAGGTAGTTTCATAGATGAATTTTTGAGTTATGCCTATTTTTTAAAAATAACAATAATTTTTATATTATACCTGATCTTCATATTACACTGCAGCTCATAACAAAAATTATAGTGGCGTTGAACACCAGTGGTGTGATTTAACAATACCATTTTTAATAAAATCAATTAGACGATATTTTACAGATTTAGTAGTTTATTTATTGATAGTTAATAATATATTTATTTTCTTCATATCGCTTTTCTTTAGGACGATATTTTATCATTATTATCATGATATTTTGAAGATTTATTATGATATACTCTGATTATTATTGATATTTGATGATATATACCAATATTTTTGTTTTTTTTAATAAAATCAATTAGACAATATTTTACAGATTTAGTAGTTTATTTATTGATAGTTAATAATATATTTATTTTCTTCATATCTGCTTTTCTTATTATCATGATATTTTGAAGATTTATTATGATATACTCTGATTATTATTGATATTTGATGATATATACTAATATTTTTTGATATTTTTAATAAAATCAATTAGATGATATTTTACAGATTTAGTAGTTTCTTTATTGATATTTAATAATATATTTATTTTCTTCATATCTGCTTTTCTTTAGGATAATATTTTACCATTATTATCATAATATTTTGAAAATTTATTATGATATACTCTGATTATTATTAATATTTTAACTATTTTTTACCGATTAATATAATATTAGCTTTATCATTTTGCATCAATTTAATATTGACTGTTTTAATATACCGTAAGCAAATATTTATGTTTTTTATTCTGATTTTAACATTTATCTATAAAAATATTTATGATATAAGCTTATATTCTGATTTTTAACAAACAATAAAATATAACAATATTTTAGTTATGTCTTTTTTTCAATCTTTTTTTCGCTTTACTCTTTTCCCTTCCCCTTTTTCTTTTCCCTTGTTCCTTTTTTTTACCTGCAACCTCACTTTCATCTTCACCTTCACTCTCATCTTCACCTTCACCTTCATCTACGCTTTCACTCTCACCTTCACTCTCACCTTCACTCTCATCTTCTATATCTTCGGTACTATAAACTTGTGATTGACTTTTTGTTTTGACAACTTCACCTATAGGTGTTTCTGGCCTTCTTGGGCTAGATACTGGTATTGTTAATTCGATTAGTTCTTCTGTTGCTGGGGTTGTTGTAGGTATTGTAGTTGCTGGGGTTGCTGCTTTGGGGTTGCTGGGGTTGCTACTTTGGAGAATACTGGGGTTGCTGCTTTGGAGGTTGCTGGGGTTGCTGTTTTGGAGGTTGCTAGGATTGCTACGGTGGTGATTGTAGGCCTCTTCAATACATCTTGTGGACTTGGAAGTGGGGGACTTCTTTCTTTATCAGTTTTCCTTCATTTATATAGTACGACTCTATCTTTGTCACCTACATTATCTCTATCCTTCCTTTTACTTGTTTCTTCACCTTCTTTTCTTGTTTTTGCTTTTTTCTTTTTTTTTGGGTCTTTTTTCCTACTTGAAAAGTCAGCATCAAATTCCGGTGCAGTGATATTATACCGTTCTATTGCTTCGAGTGATAGTGCCCAACTAGGGCAATCTGGAGGTGGTATTCTTTCTTTTTCTATGTCACCTTCGTAGTGACATTTGATCATCTGTTAATTTTTACTTACAAACGGATCTATTTGTTTATGAAAAAGCTTTTTTATTAAATGATATATTAGGGTGATATATTATTAATATATATATATTGTAAGCTTATATGTATACTATGATAAAATTAGTTAGTATTATGCATAATACTAACTAATTTTATTCTAGACTTATAATATCTTGATAATAATATACTTACATGTGGCTCATGCCACCATTTGTCCACATACACTAATTTTTTCTGCTTTTTCCTATCTCTCTCTGTCGCATCCTCATCTGTCACCCATTTTTTAGTA